TTTTTTTTTTTTCTTTTTTGCAGTTTTTGGCTGGGGCTGGGCTTGAACCCCACCACTCTTGGTATATGGGGCCAGCGCCCTACTAGGCGCCACCCTCCCAACACTTTCATCTAAGATTTTCATTGTTTCTTGTCTTAGATTTAAATCTTTTATCCATCTTGAGTCAATTTTTGTAAGTGATAAAAGGTGTGGATCCAGTTTCAGTCGTTTACATGTGGTTATCCAGTTCTCCCAGGACCATTTGTTGAATAGGGATTCTTTCCCCTCTGTATGCTTTGTTTGGTTTATCAAAAAGATCAGATGACAATTAGAGACTAGTTTTGTCTCTTGGTTTTCTATTCTGTTCCTTATGTCTATGTTGTTGTTTTTGTGCCATTGCCATGCTGTTTTGACTACTGTAGACTTACAACTTGAAATCTGGTAGAGGGATGCCTCTGGCTTTCTTTGTATTACTAAGAATAGCCTTGGCCATACAGGTTTTTTTTCTGATTGCATACAAAACAAAGTACTATTTTTTCCAGTTCTTCAAAGTATGATGTGTGTGTTGTAATGAGGATTGCTTTGAATCTGTAAATTGCTTTGGGTAGAGTAGACATTTTAATAATGTTGATCGGCTCGGTGCCTGTGGCTCAAGTGGCTAAGGTGCCAGCCACATACACCTAAGGTGGTGGGTTCGAATCCAGCCTGGACCTGCCAAACAATCATGGCTGCAACCAAAAAATAGCCGGGCATTATGGCAGGTGCCTGTGGTCCCAGCTACTTGGGAGGCAGAGGCAGGATACTCGCTTGAGCCCAGGAGTTGGAGATTGCTGTGAGCTGTAATGCCATAGCTCTCTACCCAGGGGGATAACTTGAGGCCCAGTCTCAAAAAAAAGAAAAAAAAAATGTTGATTCTTCCTAGCCAAGAACAAGATATGTTCTTCCATTTGTTAATGTCTCCTGTTATTTTTTTATCCAGGTCCAGGCTAGATTCGAACCTGCCACCTTAGGTGTATGTGGCTGGCGCCTTAGCCACTTGAGCTACAGGCACCGAGCTGTCTCCTGTTATTTCTTTTCTTAGGGTTTCATAATTCTTTTTGTAAAGATCCTTTACTTCTTTGGTTAGGTATATTCATAAGTATTTCATTATCCTTGAAGCTACTGTGAAGGGAATTATGCCCTTGATTTGCTTCTCAGCATGGCTGTTATTGGCATATGCAAAGGCTACTGATATGTGGACATTCATGGTATACCCTGAGACATTACTGTATTGTGTGTATATGTATATATATATATATATA